TCCCCATAAAAACATCATTTTATGGGTATATAAAATGAATATGTTTAAACCATGTCAATTGAGAATGTTACTCCGTATGATGAATTACCTAGCCGTTGATATCATTCGTATATACTACATACGTTATAATTTGGTGGTACATTATTAATAACAAATTGTGTTGTAAATTAGGAATTGATGATAAAAAGACGCGTAATAAATTGTGTTGTAATGCAAAAACAGGTGGTACATTGGCAGGAAGAGTACAAGGGTCAGCGGAAATAGATGGCATGAATGAGAATGACGCGGAGTGTGACAATATAGGTGCATGTACTCCCGTCTTTGTAATTCACATTGCCACTCTCGTCGGGGTACTTCTGGACAATGCCAAACCGATCCCACCAAGAAAGTTGTTGTTTGTTGTTCTTAATTTTATCGTCTTAATTACACTCAATTCAATAATTCAAGTAATGATAAATAAATATGTTCTTTACATAATCTCCTTATTCGGAGCAAAACATATCATAATCATATGATTGTAAGAAAAATAAATTTAATTTGATTAATGTGGAGAGGATTACAGTTTTGTAATTCTAATATAAGACAATTCTATGTACTTAAGTGTAATATAATTTTTATCTTTTAAGTGATTGATAATCTTAAAGAATAGTTTTTTTTATTTTTTATGCATATATATGAGAGTAGTGATTCTAGTGAATGGTTAAAGAGGACAAGTTAACAAGTACATGCTATAATTCCCTTTGTTTTTAAGTCAAATAAGGAAAAGGGGAAAGAAGTTTATCTTGGGTTTTCTTCACTCTCGGCAAAGTTTGATTTACCTCAAGTGTTGAATAACTATACCCCTTCTCTAGAAACCCTTCTTCCTAAACTTTAATTTTTTATCTTTCTTAATCCCTTCCTTAATAAAACTTTATTAAAATAAAATTTCTTAAATTAAACCGCAACTTCAATAAAATAATTAGTTAAATAAACTTTCCTTTTAAAAAATATTTCTATAATTATTTTAATGCATAATTAGAATACTTTAATTAAAATATTTCAATTTATTTAAATACTTCTCAAAATACTTATTTTTAATAAAATACGGGGTATTACATTTACAACTTGACGGATTTCATTAACTCAAGCCTACCATGAAAATCTATGACAGCATATAATGATTATATATGGTTCCAAACGGCATTATATGACCCCCAAATGTATTCCCCAAAATCTCAAGACTTTGCTACACCGGGCCCCGAAACCTCCAAAATTTCCGGAAAATGTGGACATTAGCCTTCAATTTTAGAAAATTTTGACTTTTTTTCATCGGAAAATAAAAATTGCCAAAATGTTTACCATTTTACCGATTTACAACTTGCACCGATTTCATTAACTCAAGCCTACCACGAACATTTATGACAACAAATAATGATCATATATAGTTCCAAACGACATTATATGACCCCGAGATGTATTCCCTATAATCTCAAGGCTTTTCGATACCGGGCCCCGAAACCTCAAAAAATTTTAAAAAAGCGTGGATATTAGCCTTTATTTTTGGAATTTTTAGACTTTTTTTGCCCGAAAATAATAATTGCCGAAATATTTACCATGGTTCCGAATACTCTTCGGGAGTCCAATTGGGTGGGTGAAACCATCCAATTTGCCTTTAAACGACCTATTTAGGTTATAATAACTTGCACCGATTTCATTAAATCAAGCATACCACAAACATTTATGACAACATAAAATGATAATACATGGTTCCAAACGTCATTATATGACCCCGAGATGTATTCCTTAAAATCTCAAGACTTTTCGACACCGTGCCCCGAAACCTCCAAAATTTCTTAAAAAGCGTGGATATAAGCCTTCAATTTTGGAATTTTTTTACTTTTTTTCGCCCGAAAATAAAAATTGACGAAATTTTTACCATGGTCCCTAATACCCTCCGGGAGTCCAATTGGGTGTGTTGAACTATCCAATTTGCCTGTAAATGGCCAATTTACCGGTTTACAACTTGCATCGGTTTCATTAAATCAAGCCTACCACGAACATTTATGACAACATATAATGATCATAAATGGTTCCAAACGGCATTATATGACCCCGAGATGTATCCCCTAGAATTTCAAGACTTTTCAATACCGGGCCTCGAATCCTCCAAAATTTCTCAAAAAGCGTGGATATTAGTCTTAAATTTTGGAATTCTTTGTCTAGAAATAATTTTTTTTGAAATGTTTACCATGGTCCCTAATATCCTCCGGGAGTCCAATTGGGTTAGTGGAACCATCCAATTTGCCCTTAAACGGCCAATTTATTACCGGTTTACAACTTGCACGGATTTCATTAATTAACTCAAGCATACTACAAACATTTATAACAACATATAATGATCATAAAATGGTTCCAATTGGCATTACCTGACCCCGAGATGTATCCCCTAGAATTTCAAAAAATACAAAAAATTCCAAAATTGAAGGTTAATATCCACGTTTCTTTTTAGAAATTTTGGAGGTTTCGGGGCCCGGTGTAGAAAAGTCTCGATATATTAAGGGATACATATCAGGGTCATATAATGCCATTTGGAACCATATATGATCATTATATGTTGTCATAAATATTCGTAGTAGGCTTGAGTTAATGAAATCAGTATAATTTGTAAACCGGTAAATTGGTCGTTTAAAGGCAAATTAGATGGTTTCACAAACTTAATTGGACTCCCGGAGGGTATTAGGGATCATGTTGAACATTACGGAAATTTTTATTTCCGAGCAAAAAAAAGTCAAAAAATTCCAAAATTGAAGGCTAATATCCACGTTTTTTTAGAAATTTTGGAGGTTTCGGGGCCCGGTGTCGAAAAGTCTTGAAACTCTAGGGGATACATCTCGGGGTCATATAATGTCGTTTACAACCATATATGATCATTATTTGTTGTCATAAAGTTCGTGATAGACATGAGTTAATGAAATCGGTGCAAGGTGCACTGGATGAAACATAACTTACTTCAAGTATGATGTTCAATTGACATGAGAAACAATCAAACTAATTAAGAAATGAAAGTAGCGATTGAACCTTTTGTAAAAAAAATAATAATAATAATAATAATAATAATAATAATAATAATAAAATTGAACCTTTTTTTTTATATTTAAAGAATCTAACCTTTTGTAAGAAATGTGTTTTAAAATTGTTCATAAAGCTTTGGGATGCATCCAAAATTGGAAATCAAATCACTACTCCAAATTATTTAGCCGTATGCATAATATAATGTGAGAACGAAGAAAAAAAATTATTACTCGTAAATTTCAAATATTGCATCACAAAGTCTTATTTCATCATATGTTATTTTTCAGTAAAAATAAAGTAGATAACAAAGGAATTCTATTGACAGCAACATTGATTAATCGCTCCAGTTGGATCTGTAACGCATGTTGCAGTAGTTCCAGGATGTTGTTGCGCACAAAGTGTTTTGCAATTCCCTTTCGCATCACAGTTCACCAATGTACTACATTGTGGCACACCAGCAGCATCCGCAACACTTGACAATTTCCCTGTTTCAACACCAAACATAATCATCTTATCATCGATTGTTACAATATTAATGTTCCGATGACTCACAGGAAATATTATAATGTAGACACAAATTTGATCATATATTTTGAGTAGGTACGTACATTTTTAGTTCACCATTTAAGGTATGTTGTGATCAATCATGTATACTTAAAATAATTCATATATCTAAATGGGCTAGACTTATCTAGCCAACATACGAAATAATATTGGATGGATAATTTAGTTTGTTATGTGACTATATGACACTCTTACTCTTTTAGACTCTTAGTCCACATGGTGGCATGGCTTATGTACCCATAAAATGATGTTTTTACAAGCAAGGAACAAATCTAAAATAATCGATGACACTTAAAATAAATAAATAAATAACTTTTTTTTTTTTTTTTAATTCTTAAATTTGCATGCATGTTAACACAAAAAGGAGAGAAATATTAAATAAAAATTGAAGAATAACATAAAAAGTAGTTAAAAAATATACCATACGAACTAGCAACGAGAAGTAGGACCAACATGACAGGGATAAATTGGAACGATTTCATCTTGAAATTGGAGAAGAGCTGTTTATGAAGGTAATTTGTGTTAAGAGAATAATATTTTACTAAAGGCCTATTTATACTGGAAAAATTGTTTATTTTTTTTATGGATTGTATTAATTCCATTTTATTCTCTTATTTAGTTCCATAATTAAGGAGATATAGACGGTGTTAAGTAATCGCATAATCTCTGTTGATTAACATTTATGGGTTTTTTTTTTATATATATTTCTTGACATGTTTAGGCTGTTAATTTCTTTTTATTAATTCCATAATTAAGGAGATACGGAATATTAATCCCATATATAATATTCTTTTATTCACCATATATTTATGTTTTTGTTTATTTGTTCACATATTTAATTTGTTTACTTCTTATGATTCTAATACTTTACGTTTTGTATATGATTTTATAAAAAATAATAAGGCAGTGATATATTTCCTTGACCTCTAAAGATATGATTTTATCTTTTTTTTTTTTTTTTATGTGGACATGTATTTAAACAACAAAATTGTGAGGAAAGCTCTGCATACCAAGAGTAATCCCAGAACATGGTTTCCATGCACGTACGTTACTCATAAATTTTCCATTTTTAATTTTCATAGTACTATAAGAATATGTCATTATTTAAGGCAATATTGGTGACTATTTCATTTTTACTAATTAATTTCTTAATATAATCTCAAATTTCAGCTATATGTTTGACGACTGGCATGATGCACCGTTGACTGTTTTACCTTTAATTAAAGAGTTGATTAGTGATAACATCAGAATTTGGATGTACAGGTAATGGATTGAATTAACCATTTTATAAGATTAAAATATTGATTATAAGAAAATTAATATTGTGGTATATATGCTAATTATAATAATAAAGTGGTTTTTTTTTTTTAATCAGGACAAGTTACTTAGAAAAAGAAACTTTGATCTCGAATTTCAAGTACACCTAGTAATGATTCTTATAGTACAAAAGATTTATACTAGTTCATGTTTCGAAATAATACACAATTTTATAGTAGCAAAAGTAAAATTAAAGATTCAGAACTTTTCTGGACAAATGCTCTCTTGCTCCACCATGATGATGATGATGATGATGATGGTCGTGATCGTGAAAAATGAGAGTTAAAATTCCTACCAAACATAGAACTGAACCAACAAGAACCTTGTCATACCGCTCCACCCAGTGAAACTTCAGCTGACTTGCACCGTAGTATGAGAGAGCTACCAAAGAGGTCATCACAGTGATAGTGCTGCAAAAACATCAGCAAAAAAACATCATCATACACAACTGTAGTCCAAATAATTTCATTGGTTTTTTTTAAGACAAGTGACACTAATTCTTGACATCTTAAAATGCAAAATGTACTTCAGGCAGTGGATATTGGATATAAAGACAGGGGATGGATTGCTTACTACAGTAAAAGATAATTTCACGGAGCAACGGAATTTAAAACAAAGCAAATACAGTCATAATGAAAGGGACACCAAGGCTAGATGCATGGACTAAGGCAGCTTAGGATGATGCTTAAATATAGTAAAGTTAACCTGAAGTGAGGGCAGCAGAACTGGCCTGAATTTTTGGAGTTCCAACATATTATTGACCCAAGACCAAAGAAAATCCCCAGCATAATCTCATTTTAGCTAGCATCCAGTCAAAAGGTGATGTAAACTGATAACCAAAACCATTATTTTTTTCTTTCACATTTGTAATTATGTACGTAGTATTTTTAACCTGAAACTGATATGAACCTCATTGACAGAACTGACCTGTTTGACAGTCTCACGTTTCCCTTAAGATATTAATATAATCTGATTCCCAAGAATGCTAATGTATACAAATGCATAGTGAATTAGATATTAACATAATCTAATGTTATGTATACAAGTGCATACTGAAAAAAATATTAACATAATATGATTCCCAAGAATGTTAATGTACACCAAAATAAAAACAGAACTCATTCTTTCTTTCCAGCACATTATTTGGATCGTTAGGTTAAAAAGACCTGCGAATTAATGAAAATCAAGCATTGTACCTGAATAAAAGTACTATGATGGCTAGGACCATCATTGAGGATGAATTTCCAACAGCTAGAAAAACTGGAAGTGTAGTTGCACAGGGTGACAGTGCAGGAACTAGGACAAGTCCAGCGACAGCCATTTTTTCCATGGGCTGATGATGAGAATGACTATGGCCGCCCTTTCCTAAAAGAAACAGCAAGATGTAACTTCCGCCAAGTACTACAAGTAGCAAAGAAGCAAGCTTATGCACAGTTTCTTCCCCCGCAATGGTATTGGCCATGGTTACAGCTGTTATGCCAAGAAGTGCAGTAGATATCACATGTAAACATGCTCCAAACACAGCTGCATGAAGACAAGGTCAACTACAATGAGTGTCTAGTTATCAAAGGCATGCAAAGTCTTCTGAAAACTTAAAGCCATCTTAATATAGATGATACGTGGTAGCATGATAGAAAAAATCAGACAAATAAAAAAAAAAGGGTGCATCCACAATGTACAGTAAAAGTAATCTGCAGCTTTGCATTTCAGAAGATGCAATTGTCAGAATGTACGGGATTTACGGGTCTATGGGACAAGCTAAATTGACACCCACGCATGCAGAGAGATGCATGATTATGGATGCTCAAAGAGCCGTACATCATCAAAGTAGAGCTAGCTTGCATCAAACTTTCAAGTTCAAGTTTAAAGTTTAAGAGGCAGCAGATCTTTCATGATTTATACGAACTTACAAAGAATATAGATTGTCACGTGATAGCTAGAAAACACGGTGTATAGACTGTATTGTCTGTATATGGGCGTAGCACACTAGCACAGAGGCATTTTCAGTGAGGTGCACAGCTTTTTTCCACATAATTTTTTTTCCCACTTATTATCAGGTGTGCATTGCTCCAATAAGGTGCACTGAGGATCACCTTTGAGAGGACATGGTTTTATTTAGCTAAGCCCTTCTCCTGTACATGGGTGGCAGCCGTGGCACCCCCTTAGTGTACTATCTTCTTAAACTTTAATAGGCATTCTTCACTAAACCAATTAAAAAAAAAAGGAATAATAAAATTGTTTTATTTACAGGTTCAAAAGCAGAGTAGAACAGTAATCTACTTGCAGACAAACACATATCTCAGCCAAACTAGTAACACTCTCAAAGCAGGTTTTATTTACAGGTTCAAAAGCAGAGTAGAACAGTAATCTACTTGCAGACAAACATATATCTCAGCCAAACTAGTAACACTCTCAAAGCAGGGTAACCAAGTAATCTAGAGAACACACTGAAGTTGAGTATATAGAATACTGGAAGGTTGACAGAAAAAAAGAAAATTAGGTTGACTAGAGCAATGCTTTGTCAATCATAAGTTTTATAGCAACTAGTGCAAGGTCTCAGCTAATGTGGAATAATGATGATTGGAAGAGATTAGAGGAACTCAGTAAGCCATTATTGGAAATATAAAATTATGCAGGTAGCAAAGTTGTGACCAACAAATTTCTTTTTATTTATGGTTTACATATTTGCATTTGTCTCTGCTATCAAATAAATGTGATAAAAATAGTTAGCTGAATTGCTAATGGGGTCTTTTATTCCTGGGCTGGCATGTCCTAGTACTAGATTAGCCTTTTGATGTGGGTTTCTGATTCCATCTTGACCAAAATTGTGCAGTCATAATGTTTCATGACTCAAGGAGAAAGAAATTAAGAAAAGATTGGTGAATTTTATATACAAAGAACATACATACTTTGACATCAGGATGCAATATATGCTTTACCTTTCACTCATATTCTGGTGTTGGACCAGATTGCAATTCACTAAAGATTTATAGCTGAAACCAAGACAGAGGAGATTTTTCTTCTTTAATGGTGAACTCAAATTAAGAAGGGAAGAATTCTGGTTGCCCTATGATTTATAAATAATGAATAAACATGTAGATGTAAGGTATATCATACAAGATTGATGGTAGGGAAGAAATCATCATCCAACTCTCAAGTAACTCATCCTACTTGTATTATAACCAAGTAAAGACTCTAGTTAGTCTAGTACTAGTCAAACTTCTTTGAAGCTCCATCACACTGAATAAGCATATAAGGTCATACCAAAGATACAGAATCTCATGCAGCTAAAGGATTCAGAGCAAATATGAATATGAAGTTCCCCTTCTTCCTTCTCGGTGACATCTATCAGTCTATAAATTAGTAAAAGTCATGCTGGACCATCACTTATCAATCACTGAAAGGATTGCCTCTGGATTACTATTCTCACCCTAAAATAATATCATTTCAAGAAACCACTTGCTCCAAGTAGTAACAGAATAGGACAATATACACCATTTCCCCTAAAAACAATATTATTGATAAAGAGCAAAACTATATCTGCAAATCAATATTTGAACCCCATATAAACACTAGCATCCATTCTCAACCTAACCCTACCAACAATCTAAATTCTTTCACACTTTATATTCCCTTATGTACAAACAATCCATGGTCTCTTTTCTTTGAGAGATGAGGATCAACTTCTTTATACTTGAACAGCTTTTCTTTTGCCAGTTCCATACCTCAGGAGCTACTATGGACCTTCAATCCAAAAACTTTCACATTTTAGAATCATTTAAAAATATATACTACGTATATATAACTTTTTCTATGCACCATCATACAGATTTACAACATTTTCCATCTGGTAAATAGAGCTGAAAATACAAATACTAAGACGATCATCTTGCCTAAGGAGAAAAAATCCACAACCAAATCTAATCAATCACTTTATTAGAAATTTATAATCTCACAAATGTTGGACTTCAATGTGGATTTCAGAGAATAATTGAACATCTTAGATCACTCGCATTAGGAATAATGATCATCAAAACCCCTCAATACAACTTCTTCTTCCATAGTCCATGGCTCCATACCAACTCACAACAAATCTTAACAATGAACCACTAGTCCACTACACTATCGATGATACCTTTACCTACCAAAGAAGCCTCAAGAAACAACCATTGATTTCATCTAATGCCGAAAATCATCCGCTAGAAAATGGAAGTCTCTATATATTTTGTTGGAACAACAAGTGTGTAGTGTGTGAATTTTGTGAAAAAACTCAAAGTCCCACATTGGTGGGAAATGAGAGTTTTACTCTCTTTATAATATAGAGAGTGGGCTAAAGGGGTGTGGCCCTTGGGCTACCCACATTTTGTGGAGAGGGAGGACCTATATGGTAAACCATATATCACACACACGCGCGCCGAACCGAACCGAGCCGAGCCGGGCCGGGCCGGGTCGGGTTTGGGTTTGGGTTTGGGTTTGGGTTTGGGTTTGGGTTTGGGTTATTAAACAAACTTAATTTTTGTTACCGGTTTGATTAATATTCAGTTACAAAACGTTTTACTGTTTTGGTTTAAATTTTTCCGTTACATTGCTTGATTCTCGTTGCTGTTTTACTGCTAAACGTTGCACCGTTACACTGATTTAATGCCTTGATTCTTGCTTAACGGATACACTAATTGCAGTAAACGTTGCTAATCTTTCTCCCGTTTTCATGCTTAAGCTGTTACGTATCTTTACCTATAAAAGGACGGTTCCAGCTTTGTTTTTAAACACACAAAAAAATACAGAAAACCACTTTGCAAAATATATTTTCTCTTCCTCTCAAAACAGTCGAGCAGTTTCTTTCTGATTTTCTGGTGTTCCGTTGTCCGGTGGTTCGGTGCAAAACCGCCGGTATTTTATACTTGTGAAAGACTGTTTTATCCTTGGGGCATCCGGTTTGGTACGAGCTGCTTGCACAAGTTTGAGGCAGTGCCGCGAATGTTCTAAAGAGAGCGACATAGTCCGCGACTCAGTCTTATTCTCGGTAACATTGTTCTTACTATTTTATTTGTGCAATTCCGTTTATAACAATTTTAGAACACTCGTTTCTGCCTTCGTGAACACTATGTCTACCGAAGAAATGACTATGTCTGCTGACCTTAACAAGCCCTTTCGTTTTGAGGGCGCTCACTTTAAAAGATGGAAACAGAAAATGCAATTTTTCTTAACTGTCAAAAAGGTTAATTCTGCCTTAACAGCCCCTCGGCCATTTATTCCTGAAAATGCTCCTGAAGATGAATTAGCTTACTTGAATAGTGAAATCGAAACCTGGAATGAAACTGATTTCATGTGCAAAAACTATATACTTAATGGTCTGTCTGATAACCTCTATGACTATTATAATATGGAAAATACTGCTAAGGATTTGTGGGATGCCCTACAAAAAAGTATGATACTGAAGAAGCAGGTGCCAAAAAGTATGCTGTCAGTAGGTACCTAAAATTCCAGATGACTGATGATAAGTCCGTGGAAGTGCAGTCTCATGAGATAATTTCCGAAGGTATGGCCCTTGATGAACAATTTCAAATTGCTGTTATTATTGACAAGCTGCCTCCTTCCTGGAAAGATTTCAAAAATAATCTCAGGCATAAGACTAAGGAATTCTCCTTAGAGAGTTTGATCACTCGGCTACGTATAGAAGAAGAATCCAGAAAACAGGATCTAAAGGAAGAGATTTTACAAATCTCTGCTAATAATGCTACTAGGCGATCTGCTGCAGTACTTAAACCTGCTGGTAAGAATTTCAAACCTCAGAACCGGAAGAATAACTTCAATAAACCGAATGTTCAAAAGAACAATGGAAGACAACAGTCTCAACCCCCTAAGAATGGTACTGGTCAATTTCTGTGCTATCGGTGTGGAAAACCAGGCCATATGGCACGAAAGTGCAGGAACATGCCTAACCCTGTGCCTGCGCAGGCTAGCATGATTGAAGAGCCTTTTGTGGCTATGATTACTGAGATCAACCTTACTGGTGGATCAGATGGGTGGTGGATAGACACTGGTGCCACACGCCATGTCTGTTATGATCGTCGAATGTTTAAAACATACACTGAAAAGACCGATGATAAGAAAGTACTGTTGGGTGATTCCCATTCCACTAACATTGCTGGTATTGGAAATGTTGAGTTGAAGTTTACTTCTGGCAGGACTCTCATTCTGAAAGATGTGTTACACACTCCGGAAATGAGGAAGAATTTAGTTTCTGGTTTTTTGCTTAATAAGGCTGGTTTTATACAAACCATAGGTTCTGATTTGTTTACTTTAACTAAGAATGGAATATTTGTAGGAAAAGGATATGCTACTGATGGCATGTTTAAACTGAATGTTGAAGTTAATAAAATTTCTAATTCCGCTTATATGTTGTGTTCTACTATTAATGTTTGGCATACTAGACTTTGTCATGTGAACAAAAGACTCATAAAAAATATGAGCAATTTAGGCCTTATTCCAAATATCTCTCTCAATGACTTTGACAAATGTGATTCTTGTAGTCAGGCTAAGATTACAAAAACACCTCATAAATCAGTGATTAGAAACTCAGAACCATTAGACTTAATTCATTCGGATATTTGTGAACTAAATGGAACGTTGACCAGAAATGGACAACGATAATTTATCACCTTTATTGATGATTGTTCTGATTATACTTGTATTTATTTGATGAAAAATAAGAGTGATGCTTTTGAAATGTTTAAGTTGTTTATAACAGAGTTTGAGAATCAGTTTAACAAGAAAATAAAAAGATTACGAAGTGATCGTGGAACTGAGTATGATACTGATGCTTTTGTATAATTTTATAATTCACATGGTATCATACATGAAAGGACAGCTCCTTATTCCCCAGAAATGAATGGAAAGGCTGAAAGGAAAAACAGGACCTTTACAGAATTAGTAGTTGCTATTTCCTTATATTCTGGTTCTGCTGATCATTGGTGGGGTGAAATTCTACTAACTGTTTGTTATGTCTTAAACCGTATTCCAAAGACTAAGAGTAAGGTTTCTCCCTATGAAATACTTCGTAATAAACGACCTAACATTTCTTATTTCAGAACTTGGGGTTGTCTAGCATATGTTAGGATTCCTGATCCTAAAAGAGTTAAACTAGCTAGTAGAGCTTATGAATGTGTATTCATTGGATATGCTATTAACAGTAAGGCATATAGATTCTTTGATTTAAATGCTCGTGTAATTATTGAATCTAATGATGTTGATTTTTATGAGGACAGGTTTCCTTTTAAATCTAGAAATAGTGGGGGTTCGTCCACCTCTATTATTCCTAAAGTCAGGTCTAACTCACAAGAATTGGATGCTGAACCCGAACTAAGAAAGAGCAAGCGGGCTAGAGTAGCAAAAGACTTCGGCCCAGACTTTGTAGTTCTTAATGTAGAGGAGGATCCTTCTACCCTCCAAGAAGCTCTAACCTCAGTTGATGCAGATTTATGGCAAGAAGCCGTGAACGATGAAATGGACTCACTTGAGTCTAATCAAACTTGGCATCTAACTGAGTTGCCACCAGGCTGCAAGTCAATTGGTTGCAAATGGGTCCTAAAAAGAAAGCTGAAAGTTGATGGGACCGTTGATAAGTTCAAAGCCCGTTTGGTAGCTAAAGGCTACAGAGGGAGAATGTTGATTTCTTTGATACCTATTCACCTGTAACTAGAGTAACATCTATTAGAGTACTAATATCTCTTGCTTCTGTTTTTAATCTTGTAGTACATCAGATGGATGTAAAGACTGCATTCTTGAACGGTGAATTGGAAGAAGAAATCTACATGGATCAACCGGAAGGATTCGTTGTTCAAGGAAAAGAGCATCTGGTATGTAAGCTAGATAAATCTCTTTATGGTCTCAAACAAGCACCTAAACAATGGCATGAAAAATTTGATAACTTAGTCATCTCACATGGTTTTAAGATAAATGGTAGTGACAAATGCATATATGTAAAATTTGAGAATGACATATGCACTATAATTTGTCTATATGTGGATGACTTGTTAATTTTTGGCTCGAACATTCATGCTGTGAATGATGTAAAGCTATTGTTGAATGCTGAGTTTGACATGAAAGACCTAGGAGAGGCTAATGTAATCCTTGGAATTAAGATTACTAGGACAGAAAATGGAGTTTCTTTGGATCAATCTCATTACATTGAGAAAATCCTAAAGAAATATGGTTACTTTGACTGTAAACCTGCTAATACACCTTATGACTCCAGTGTTAAATTATTTAAGAACACTGGTGATGCCGTAAGGCAATCTGATTATGCGAGCATCATTGGCAGCCTTCGGTATGCCACTGATTGTACTAGACCCGACATTGCCTATGTCGTGGGATTGTTAGGCAGGTTTACTAGTTGTCCTGGTAATGAGCATTGGCATGCTATTGAAAGGGTCATGAGATACCTTAAGAGGACCATGAACCTAGGGTTGCATTATGAAAGGTTTCCAGCTGTACTAGAAGGCTATAGTGATGCTGACTGGAACACCTTATCAGATGACTCTAAGGCTACTAGTGGATATATTTTTTCTATAGCCGGTGGAGCTGTATCTTGGAAGTCTAAGAAACAGACTATTTTGGCTCAGTCCACCATGGAGTCAGAAATGATAGCACTAGCTACGGCTAGTGAAGAAGCAGGTTGGTTAAGAGGTCTGCTAGGTGAAATTCCCCTATGGGAAAAGCCATTACCGGCTGTCTTGATCCATTGCGATAGTACCGCGGCTATTGCAAAAGTTCAGAACCGTTATTACAACGGTAAGAGACGACAAATACGTCGTAAGCACAGCACTGTGAGAGAATATCTCTCTATCGGAATAACTTGGCTGATCCTTTGACGAAAGGATTAGCTAGGGAGAAAGTCCATTTTTCCTCTAAGAAAATGGGACTATTGCCATTGAAATGAACCACACATAATGGTAACCTAACCTATGAACTGGAGATCCCAAGAAATAGGTTCAAAGGGTAATAACAAGTTATGGTGTGATATGAGTTGAATATGTTCAAAAGACATAATTTCCTGAAGCGATCAAGGATGAGTTAATAGGAACTCTTAATGAAATCTATACTCCAATTTGGAGTGGAGTACCAAGCTACAGGAGTACTCTTGATAGATTCACCTATGTGAATGTGGAAGTTAGGCCGCTTCCTATGAAATGTGTGGCAGCATTTCTAGAGCATTCACTACACTGGGATAGACGTGCATGGCCGAAATAGCACGGGTCTAGAACAACACCAAGAGTAGGTTGTGTGTGGTACTTTGTCAGAGATAGAGTTCAAAACTTCGAGTCACCCTTGTTGAATCTGAATCGTACTCACTACGTAGAAGTTCAAGTTGAAAAACACTTCTGTTTATGCGCAACCTATATATGTATGGATTCTGCTCGAAAATGTTTTCAAAAAATTCAAGTGGGGGATTGTTGGAACAACAAGTGTGTAGTGTGTGAATTTTGTGAAAAAACTCAAAGTCCCACATTGGTGGGAAATGAGAGTTTTACTCTCTTTATAATATAGAGAGTGGGCTAAAGGGGTGTGGCCCTTGGGCTACCCACATTTTGTGGAGAGGGAGGACCTATATGGTAAACCATATATCACACACACGCGCGCCGAACCGAACCGAGCCGAGCCGGGCCGGGCTGGGTCGGGTCGGGTTTGGGTTTGGGTTTGGGTTATTAAACAAACTTAATTTTTGTTACCGGTTTGATTAATATTCAGTTACAAAACGTTTTACTGTTTTGGTTTAAATTTTTCCGTTACATTGCTTGATTCTCGTTGCTGTTTTACTGCTAAACGTTGCACCGTTACACTGATTTAATGCCTTGATTCTTGCTTAACGGATACACTAATTGCAGTAAACGTTGCTAATCTTTCTCCCGTTTTCATGCTTAAGCTGTTACGTATCTTTACCTATAAAAGGACGGTTCCAGCTTTGTTTTTAAACACACAAAAAAATACAGAAAACCACTTTGCAAAATATATTTTCTCTTCCTCTCAAAACAGTCGAGCAGTTTCTTTCTGATTTTCTGGTGTTCCGTTGTCCGGTGGTTCGGTGCAAAACCGCCGGTATTTTATACTTGTGAAAGACTGTTTTATCCTTGGGGCATCCGGTTTGGTACGAGCTGCTTGCACAAGTTTGAGGCAGTGCCGCGAATGTTCTAAAGAGAGCGACATAGTCCGCGACTCAGTCTTATTCTCGGTAACATTGTTCTTACTATTTTATTTGTGCAATTCCGTTTATAACATATTTCTTCCCACCTCCTATAATATCTAAGCTTGGAACTCAATATACCTTTCATTATGTGTAAATGCTAACCACCGATATCAAACTCTATAATTCCAAATCCTTGAAGAACTAAATCACATTATTAAAAACAAGCTACAAAGAATTATACAAACAATACATAGACTATACATAAATAAACAATATTAATACCATAAATGACGAGTAAATTGAGCAAATCAATGCAAAAATTAGACCAAACCCACAAGATTTAACAACATTTTAAGATAGATTTAGCTAGAAATAAAGAAACCCAATCACCAAAAATTACAAATTAATAGGAAAATGATGAAAAAAAAGGAACTTACTGACTAAAAGGGTGCGAGAAAGAGTCCATTTTTGGGCGCGACCAACGATGGAAAAGGGCAACCAATGAGTAGGAATGAAGGAATGAAGAAGGGAAACTGTTGCGATCCCTCCAATTGTTGATAAATCTTCAGGTCCTATGCTTTCAAATTTCATTTTTAAGATCACCCCACAAAATTTCTTGCCCTAATTTTACAAGTTTCAAACTTTAACAATTCCCAGATTTATTCCCAGATTTTCTCTCCCTTTCAGTGTTGCTCACGGAATCGACAATGATTTTGATTGAGTGTACTAAACTTTCATTTCCTGGGTTTTGATTTCTGGGTTGTGGCTTGTAATCGAAGCAAATTTACTACAAAAATAAATCCAATTAAATACTGAATTAATTGGATTTAACAAGATAAACCCAACAAGGCTAACATATCTAGACATGTACAGTAATTCGAAATACTAACAAAATTAACCATACAAAATTATAAGGTATTCCCTCCGTTTAAAAATATTTGCTCCACTTTTCCATTTTAGCCGTTTTTACATACTTGTTTCATTTCATTATTTGAAAAGTTTTTACAATATTAAATTAATTTCCCTCACATACATGATTATATTTTATTATTTTCATTTTTTTTTTCCTTCAATTCTTTCCACTACTTTTGTTTTTTTTCAAATTTTTATTCTTCCACATATCCCACTACTTTCTCCATATTTTATTATTTTCTCCATTTTTTCCTAAAACTCTATGCATGGAGAAATGGAGCAAATATAACTATTTAAAAATGGAGGGAATACTTCTTAATTCTTATTAGTTCCTAGTTCCTACCCCTCCGGCCCTTAATTTTTGTTTCCAGACGTTAAAACCTATTCACCTTTTCAGTAAATAAGTAACAAATAAATAATAATATCTCGTCAAAAAAAAATACGAAGTAGTAATAACTATTGGATTATACAAATCCAAATAATTCATTCCAAATTCAAGCACCAAGCACTACCCAACAATTACTACGTTCATAACGCCCAACTCCTCTCAAATTATTTTTACAGGGTAGAACTAACGAATTAAAGTAGGCTTTGGTGCATTGTTCACTAACTTACAAGCATAAAACTAATCCATTCACCTCATTTATTTTACTCTAACTCATTCCAATTTCCAATTACAATTGAGATTTATCTTTGCGACTTTGCTAACCAATTTATTTTTTATATATACTTTTTTGTTATCGCAGAAAGCCATAGATGTAATGTTAAAGATGGGATTCGATTCTAAAATTTGTGTGTCACCTTTAAAATTTTAACCAATTAAGCTAGTTGACATTTACGTACCAATGATATTATCAACATAAAATATAATGATCACTAAGATTATATAATTGATCTAGTTACATTACATGTGTAATCAATGCAGAGTCAATCATACACATGACCTAATGTGTAATTATTAAATATGGGTTTAATGTAAAAGCATTTGTGGTGATTAAAAAAAATTCAATATTTTTGTACTTCGCAATTTAACATATGCTCAGGGACACACGTTAGATAAATCAATATTAATATAGTGATGTTAAACTTTAGATCACGTCAATTTACGTTGAACCATTATTTGTTCGATCAATTTTACATGTGATTTGGATATGGTCAAAAAATTCAAGTCGGATCCATTTTGCAATTTGTACTACACTTGCCAAGGCGTTCAAGAGAAGCAACTAATGATTGTACTTGTTTAGGAGATTGGCGCCAAAAAGAAACCTTTCAGATATTCAGCAAAATGGAGCGCTAAAATTAGGGTTCCTCCGTTTACATTTGATTTCCCCCAATTTGCAAAATTCTACCCTCCAATTTCATTCTTCGTCATCAATTAGGGTTCTAGGAGAGAAGAAATTGGGCGAAAAATGCCGGAATTAAGCTGGAAGCACCACACTCTAATTCAGTCTCTACTCTCTCGTGGCCCTCTTAAGGCCGAAGAATTCAACAAAATTTTCGAGGGAGTTACTGGAAGAAACCCAGGTTTCAATTCTGCCCCCTTTAATTTTATTTTAATCTGAAATTATTGTGGTATGAAATTAGTATTGTGAACCCTAATTCCTCTGTAATTGTAACCGTTTTTTCAGGTTCTAATGACAAAATGTTTAACGATTATTTATTGAAGATTAATAAAGAGCTTTCCTTTGTTCAATTTGAGTTACGAGCGTGTAGGAATCAGTATGATGGTACAGTTTATTATGGCGTCGTCAACAATGTTGAAGATGAACAATCGAAGCTAGGGTCTAAGTACTCGGTTCCTCAAATTGCCTTTTATAAGGGCATTGTAAGCTTCATTTCCCTGTGAATTTCAGTGTTTTTCCTTCGATTTCTATGATTATAATTCTATGCCAATGTTTTGGTATTTGAGAGATTAATTGAACAATTGAATTGCTAATAATTACATTGTTGTGCTGTTGCTACTAATGCGGGTTTAGTTGTTGTCAAAGGTTATGCTTAAGCTATAAGAAATCGTTGGTTTTACGGAGTATCTATTTTAATTGACAAAGTATAATTCGTTGTATTATATTTGACCTTAGTAGTTTAGTGAATATATCAATGAATGGACAAATGTGAATTATTTTTAAAATGAATGTAGTGTTGCACAATTTTGGTCAAAGCAAAATGTCAAAATGTGAGTGTTATATATTTGGAAATGGATGGGGTAGTATGTTTGTGTTAATGTCATATTATAATGTGAATGTTCATAGTAGATTGAATGTGGAATGTATGGTTTTAAGCGGGAAATTTGCTGAGTGCTTGGGGTTGGCTGCTCCGTGTAGTGTGTAAGACATAATTTGGATGGTTTGGTATTAAAGTTGGCTGTTCACTGCAAGATAAAACCTGCATTTTTGCTTGTTGTGAAATGTATGGTGGAAACTGAAGTAAATACTCCTAAACTTTATGTTGAATTGCTAAGATTTGCTTTCATTTTCAAATGGCAGATAGAAGCAATTGCACAAGATACTGCAGGCCAAGGTTGCATCACTAATATTGATGCCCTCCATATAAGATTGGACAGTCAGGTTTGTAAACTTCACTGTGTGGATAACAGTTTTCAAATTTTGGAAAACTTATCAGGCGATTATTGTAGGAACTTCTTGTCATTTAATGATTCAATTGTAACACATGTATTTAATCTGTTCTTTCTTTCATTTATGATGGTCCCTTTACACCCCCCCCCCCCTCTTTTCCCTCTTTAGATTTGAGTGGGGTCTCAGGTCTAGGGGGAAAATATCATGAAAGAGATGGGGACAGTTGAATGGAGGGTGAGTTCCAGAATCAAGGTTTGCTAAACACAGATGTTTGTATCAACTGCACAATCTGCTATATACATGTGATCATTGGCCTTAAAAATAAGAGTAGTCCTAATTTACTAGCTTTACTTTGCTATGGGGAGAGGGATAGGGGTCAATTTGCTATGTTTACAGACTTGTAAAACTAATAACCTTTCTCTAGTGTTCCATATACTATTATATTTCCAGTCAGATGTTCTTGATTCTGTCTTTACTCTATAGCTCTCCCTTTTCTTAGTCAACTAGATAGATTTTGTCGTGGCATCTTTCTTATTCTAGTCCCACTCGTAGGCAACCTAATTCTGGTGGCTGACAATTGTTGTGGCTAAATGACAGATCCCTGGTGGCTCACAACCACTGTCAGAATCGCAATTTCAGGATGTGCCTCCTGCTCTGAGGAATTTTTCAATGTCTCAAAAAGAAAAGGCTCTTGAAGAGCTTGTTCATGATGGATGGCTCTCCAATGTAGATGGTAATATCGGACTTGGTATTAGATCATTCCTTGATCTCCGAAGTTGGTTCCGCTTAAACGAGATTCCTTCATGTGAGGTTTGCAATGAGGCTGGGGTGAAGGTGGGTTTTTTTTCTCTACGTTGAGTTTTTACTTTTGTTATTTTTTACGTCTGTATTTTATTTTACAGGGAAGTGAATTTTTTAACTTTTAAACTCGTTCAAAATAAGTTAATAAACATCTCTTTCTATAAAGTGATTATATATGTTCATGAGATGATGTGTGCTGTTTTAATGTATTAGCTGTATTAAACCTCTCACTTCTGCTATTAGTTTTTGTTTCTCTAAATTAAGGTAAATTATGTGATTACCATGTAAATGCAACTGGGATCTCAGCATTTTTTAAATTTTGGTTTTGTAGATCACATCTGATCTTAGTAGTCAATTGCTTATGTCAGAACTGAAGTGCTTTACATCGGTTTAAGTGGCTGCCATTCTTTTTGTCTTTGTTACTTCCCTAATCTGATATATTTAGGTGCAATTATTTTTTCTAATAGGCTGATTTATGCCCAAGTGAAGGCTGTCCCATCCGAATCCATAAGTACTGCCTCCTTAAGAAGTTTTCTCAAAGAACGGTAACACATCAGTTGTCAGGATTTTTTTTTTTTTTTTTTTTTTTTTTGGCAATCAGGCTATTCTTGTTAAATAAGCAACTCGTATTTATCATTTTCAGGCTGAAAAGGTTTGTCCTGGCTGTCATAATCCTTGGCCATATACAGTTACCAAAGCAGAAATGGTAGACACCAAGCGAGCCAACAGAAACCCAACCTTCAAACGGACCTTCTCAGAGAAAGAGGAGAAAGAATTCCCAGTCTCGGACACAGGAATCAGATGATGTAGGATCTGGTTCCTCTCGGACAACTAAATTGAGGAGATCTTCCCGCATTGGCTAACATTGCCGATGTCAACTGTTAGGCGCTTCTGGAGATTGGATGTTCTTAATGCATAGTTTTTTTGTTGTAAATAGTTTGGAATTTCGGAGGATGTCATTGTCTAAATCAAAATTGTGTTAGAAGGTAGGAAACTTAGCTGAAGATCGAACTTTGGGGATCAGTGGCGTCCTCTTGGCAAGAATGTTGAGGTTTGTTACCTTCCATCTATATATGATAGTTGTGCACTTAGCTAACCTACCTACATCTTTCCTTAGGGTTTTCATCATTTTGTAAAGGAATGGGTTTGAGTTATCACATTGATATGAGTATCACTTTCAAATTTACAAAAGTGAATCCATTTACTAGGAAAATCTATTTTCTTTTTTATTTTTTTTGGGCTAAATGTTTATTAATTATAATAGAATTATTTAAACAAATCAATATTCCATTGTTTTTTCATTTAAAAATGAGTACTTCGTAAGCCGTAACCACATAAATAAGGTTATACAGTTGTATGGAGCACGACCCATTATTTGTTTTGGGGGCCTAAAATTGTAGCATTTGATGTTGCATAAGGTCGCCTACAACTATTAGCAATGGAGGAATTATTGGAGGTTCAAATAAGTATGGAAGCAACAAGTGGGTTTAGGTTGTTTGGACTCACAAAAACCCTAGGTGGCGTTGATATATTCACATCGACAAATTTATCACAAATGAGAGTGGAGGATAGCTCAAGTGGTTAGACTTTCCTTCCCGATTCTAGGAGATCCTGAGATTGATTCTCACCCCCGTCATTTATCACAGATTATTTCCTCCATCCTCAATTGTTTACAATCATTATGTATACTTTAGAATCGGACTAAAAAGGGAAAATGAAGAAAATTATAAGTCACTAACTACTGTGAAGGACAAATATACAATCGGTTATATGTTGGAGACTTAAAACGACAAATCTATAGAGGTGACCAAAATTAGTCCGCCGGGCCGAAAAAAGAAAGGGTTTGGGTGCAAGATTTTGTATGATCAACTCTATGTCTCCAATATATTTGTGGAATAAAAAAAAAAAAAAAATCTTGCAAGTTTGTCGCAAACACCCACCTCCTCTTTGTTCTTTCACTCTTGAAAACCTTTGATAAGTGCGCAAAATTGAAGGCAATCAGAAACAAAGGCGTCGTAAACATGATTATTCCAGTTCGTTGCTTCACTTGCGGCAAGATAATCGTCTTTAGGGTTTAGGGTTTAGGGTTTAGGGTATAAGCTGGTGACCAATTATTTGATTAATTCTTCAATTAATTTTGGTGTTTGAATGTTTTTCAGGTCATTGGAAATAAATGGGACACTTACCTTGACCTTCTTCAAGCTGATTACACTGAAGGGTAATTTCACTTTAACTAATTCTTCTTCTGCATTATGCCTAATTTTATTGCTAAAATCCCACTTTACCATTAGTTTAGGGATTGAATTTCAACCCCTTTGATGAAATTATGTGCATAATTTAATGGGTTTCTTGTGATTTTGGTTTTTGAATTGTTCTTTAATCTTTATAAAGATTAGAGAGTGCAAATTTGGTTACTTTTACTGCTTAATGAACTTTGTATGTATTTAAGGCTCTTGTTTTCTTGCTTATTGAAATATGTCGTAGTATTTTCAATTCCTACTGTTTTCAACTATTTGGTTCTCGGGTTCGAATTGGGTTTGGGTAGTGCTGTTAGATTTTTCATGTTTTGGAATCAAATTAAGTTTGCATAAGAATAAGATTTAGTTACTTCTGTTTGCATTTGATTGGCATATATTCTGATCTAGGGATAGAAGTACTTCTGCATGCATTTGATCGTCTGAATGGCTGTGTGTGCTTGGATTCGATTGAATATAATCTCGACTTTGATATGTCTTTTTGCTGCTTCTTTGCCCTCATGCTCCCATATTGGGCAGCAACAGTAGATGTCAAAGAGGTCATAGCTGTCAGAGAATGAAGTGTGTGTGTGTGTGGGGGGGGGGGGGGGGATGGGGTGGTGATGATCTTTGGGTTGGGATTATATGTGTGTGTATGAATATACTCTTGTCGATCACATTTTGGGTTGGCTTATTGCTTTTGTGTGTTTGTGTTGTCATGGAAAGACCGAGGCTTAAAAATGTGGTGTGATATGCTATGCAACTTGTATGAGAGCTCTGTTTTCTTTCAAGTAGACCTGCATCGCTGCATAATTAACGATCCTAAGGATTTTTCTTTTTGCTGACATGAATGCATTATGCATTTTCACAGGGATGCCCTTGATGCATTGGGATTAGTCCGCTATTGTTGCAGGAGAATGCTGATGACCCACGTCGACTTGATTGAGAAGCTCTTGAACTACAACAGTAAGTTCTCTCATTTCACTTTCATACCTATATCAGCATATCTTGTGCTTGTTAGGCTTTGTTTTCAACTTTTCACCAGATATAAAGCTACAAATGTATCTATGTCGAATTTTGCTTTTGTAATCAAGTGTTCTTACTTACTCAGTCTACCCTTTTTCAAATCAATACCACCTAATATATTATGAGTGCCTATATTGAGAGAATTACCAAGATGTAAATTGATCTTAATGTCCAACTGAAAAATGATGGTTTAAGCTTTATAAGCTACAAATGGTGGATCTTTTCCTATTGATACACTGTTGTAAGGTCGTCTTATACTGATTCGTCCCCTGTTTCATACTTTCGTTTGGTTGATACTAATATGTTTATCTGATAGACAATGTATGAGAATCCATGAACAGGAACATGTACCAATCTATGAGAGAGCATCTTGTGTTTATGTTTCAATTTCTGTCCAATTTAGCAGAGCCTATTTTTTTTTACTTCCTCCAATTTGAGATTGAGTTCTCCCTTTCTTTCTTTTAAGGTTGCACAATGATGTGTTTTATTCTCTGTTTTCTATCATTCAGATTAATCTTCACTTTATATCTTTGTTTATAGACATTATATTATTATTATTATTATTATTATTAGAATTATGGTTTAAAGTTTTCATATAATTGCTCTCTGACCCGTATTATTTCTTGCAGCTCTAGACAAGTCTGATACTAGTTGATGAAGCTTTTGGGAGCAGTGGTAGAACTGTATAAGAATGACCATCTTTTGCTGAATAGTATTAGGGATTAATTTTGATGGATTCAAGATTTGAAGATTGCCATAGTTTAGGATGCAAGTATGAATCTTCTATTGTTTACATGAAGTTATGAAGTAATGCTCATCTACTACATTAATACAGCTTTTTATGTCATGTAAACTGTGACTGTTCTGTTTTCGGCTATTATATATGAAGTGCCTATTTGTTATTTCTTGAGTAATTCAATTTGAGACTGCATTAGTAAACATACAGTTCGGTTTCAAGTTTTCAGAAGGCTTTTTGTTGGAGACTTCGGTAAATTCTGTAATTTTTTGTGGACAAAAGAATAATGTTGTATGCTGTATGGTATATACTAGAGCTGTCAATTCAGGTAAACAGGTTGGCTTTGGGTCGGGTAAGAGTGGGTCGAGTCAACTCGAGTCGGGTCAATTCGAATTAATTCCACAACCTATGCGGATCGAGCTTGGGTTGGTCATGCTTGAGTTGGGTCACGTTGGGTCATACTTCTTATCGGGATTGGGTTAGATTTAGGTCGGGTTACATTCGGGTCGGGTAAACAATAGGTCGGGTTTAATTTGGGTTTTCACAGGTTAAAACGGGTTAGGGTAATTATCGGGTTCGAGTCGGGTTTGATTCAAGACAATAATTTGCGGGTTAGAATCAGGTCGGGTCATTCTCGGATTTGAGTCGGGTTTGATTCAAGTCAATAATTTGCGGATTATAATCAGGTCGGTCATTTTCAACTCGGTTTATTCTCGGGTTTAAGTCGGGTTTGGTTCAAGTTAATATTTTGCGGGTTATAATCAGGTTGGGTCATTTCCAAGTCGGGTCGTCATTCTCGGATTCAAGTCGGGTTATGTTCAAGTTAATAATTTGCAGGTTACAATCAGGTCAGGTCATTTCCAAGTCAGGTCATATTCGGGTTCAACTAACTATAAATAGATAATTATCATTTTTATCAAGCTAATTATTTCCTTTGACTATAATATATATGACAATATACTAAGGAACTATAGTCTATAATTTAGGAAGATAATTATCTCATTTGACCATACAACAAATATATATTATATTTAACTCTTAAATTCGAGGATGATGCTCCTTTCTTTTGCTGGCCTAGACCGACTTGATCTCCTTTGACAAAATGCTTTGATCAACAATAATAAGGTAGTCTAAATTGCATTTAAGTTGATTTGAAATCGGATCAGGAACAATTTGGGTTGAATTTAGGTCGGGTCAATAACAAGTCGCGTTAATTTCGAGTCGGGTTAGTAACAGATCGGGTTAAATTTTTGAGTCGGGTAAGTAATAGGTCTGGTAAAATTCGGTCGGGTCAATAACAAGTCGAGTTGAATTTGGGTTAGGTCAATAACAAGTCAGGTTGATTACGGGTCGGGTTTGTAAAATGTCGGGTTAAATTCAGGTCGGGTTAGGAACAGAACGGGTTAAATTCAAGTCAGGTTAGTAACAAGTCGGGTTAAATTCGGGTTTTGACGGGTTAAAAAGGGTTAGGGTCAATTTCGTTTCAAGTCGGGTTCGGTGCAAATTAATTAAATTGGCTATTGTAAACCGGTAAATCGGTGAAAGTTGTAAACCGGTAAGTTGGCCGTTTAACAGCAAATTGGATGGTTTCACACATCCAATTGGATTCCTGTAGGATATTAAAGACCATGTAAGTATTTCGCCATTTTTTTTTCGAGCAAAAAAAGACAAAAAAGTTCCAAAATAGAAGACTAATATCCACGCTTTTGAAAAATTTGGAGGTTTCGCGGACCGGTGTCGAAAAGTCTTGAAATTCTATGGGATACATCTCGGGGTCATATAATGCCGTTTGAAACCATATATGATCATTATTTGTTGTCATAAATGTTCGCGGTAGGCTTGATTTAACGAAATCGGTGTAAGTTGTAAACCGGTAAATTGGCCGTTTAAACACAAATTGGATGGTTCCACCAAACCAATTGGACTCCCGGAGGCTATTAGAGACCATAGTAAACACTTCGACAATTTTTATTTCCGGTCGAAAAAAAGTCAAAAAAAATCCAAAATTGAAGGCTAATATCCACGATTTTTGAGAAATTTTGGAGCTTTCGGGGCATGGTGTCGAAAAGTCTTGAAATTCTTGGGGATACATCTCGGGTCATATAATGCCGTTAGAAACCATATATGATCATTATTTGTTGTCATAAAATTTCGTAGTAGTCTTGAATAAATGAAATCGGTGCAAGTTCTAAAACGGTATATTGGTCGTTTAAAGGCAAATAGGATGGTTCCACCCACCCAATGGCACTCCTGGACGGTATTAGGGATCATGGGAAAAATTTCGGCAATTTTTATTTCTGGTCGAAAAAAAGTCAAAAATTTCAAAATTGAAGGCTAATATCCACGCTTTTTGAGAAATTTTGGAAGATTCAAGGCCTGGTGTCGAAAAGTCTTGAAATGCTAGGGGATACATCTCGGGGTCATATAATATCGTTTGAACCATTTATGATCGTTTTATGTTGTCATAAATGTTCGTGGTAGCCTTGAATTAATGAAATCGGTGCAAGTTGTAAATCGGTAAAGTGGTCGTTTAAAGGAAAATTGGATGGTTATATCCACTGAATTGCACTCCCGGAGAGTATTTGGGACCATGGTAAACATTTCAGCAATTTTTATTCCGAGAGAAAAAAAAAGTCAAAAAATACCAAAATTGAAGGCTAATATACACGTTTTTTGAAAAAAATTGAAGGTTACTTGACCTAGTGTAGAAAAATCTTGATATTTTAAAGCATACTTCTCAGGGTTCATATAATGCCGTTTGGGACCATGTATGATCATTATATTTTGTTATAAATGTTCATAATACGTTTGAGTTAATGAAATATGTGCAAGTTGTAAACCTTTAAATTGACCTTTTAAAGGCAATTTGGATGGTTCCACCAACCCAATTTGACTTGTGGAGGGTATTAGGGACCATGGTAAACATTTCGTCAATTTTTATTTTTTGGGCGAAAAACGTCAAAAAAATTCAAAAATTTAAGACTAATATCCACGTTTTTTGAGAAATTTTGAAGGTTTCAGGGCCCGGGGTCGAAAAGACTTGAAATTTTAGGTGATAAATCTCGGGGTCATATAATGCCGATTGGAACCATTTATGATGATTATATTTGTAATAAATGTTCGCGGTAGGCTTGATTTAACGAAATCGGTGTAAGTTGTAAACCGATAAATTGGCCGTTTAAACGCAAATTGGATAGTTCCACCAACCCAATAGGACTCCCGGAGGGTATTAGGGACCATAGTAAACACTTCGGCAATTTTTATTTCCGGTCGAAAAAAAGTCAAAAAAATCCAAAATTGAAGGCTAATATCCACGATTTTTGAGAAATTTTGATGGTTTCGGGGCATGGTGTCGAAAAGTCTTGAAATTCTAGGGGATACATCTCGGGGTCATATAATGTCGTTAGGAACTATATATGATCATTATTTATTGTCAAAAAATTTCGTTGTAGTCTTGAATAAATGAAATCGGTGCAAGTTGTAAAACGGTATATTGGTCGTTTAAAGGCAAATAGGATGGTTCCACCCACCCAATGGAACTCCGTGACTGTATTAGGGATCATGGGAAAACTTTCGGCAATTTTTATTTCCGGTCGAAAAAAAAGTCAAAAATTTCAAAATTGAAGGCTAATATCTATTTTTTTGAGAAATTTTGGAGGATTCAATGCCCGATGTCGAAAAGTATTTAAATGCTAGGGGATAAATCTCGGGGTCATATAATATCGTTTGAACCATTTATGATCGTTTTATGTTGTCATAAATGTTCGTGGTAGCCTTGAATTAATGAAATCGGTGCAAGTTGTAAATCGGTAAAGTGGTCGTTTAAAGGAAAATTGGATGGTTCTATCCACCGAATTGGACTCCCGGAGAGTATTTGGGACCATGGTAAACATTTCAGCAATTTTTATTCCGAGAGAAAAAAAAGTCAAAAAATACCAAAATTGAAGGCTAATTATACACGTATATTGAAAAAAATTGAAGGTTACTTGACCTAGTGTAGAAAAATCTTGATATTTTAGAAAATACTTCTCAGGCTTCATATAATGCCGTTTGGGACCATATATGATCATTATATGTTGTTATAAATGTTCATAATACGTTTGAGTTAATGAAATCTGTGCAAGTTGTAAACCTTTAAATTGACCGTTTAAAGGCAATTTGGATGGTTCCACCAACACAATTTGACTTGTGGAGGGTATTAGGGACTATGGTAAACATTTCGGCAATTTTTATTTTTCGGGCGAAAAACGTCAAAAAAATTCAAAAATTTAAGACTAATATCCACATTTTTTGAGATATTTTGAAGGTTTCGGGGCCCGGCGTCGAAAAATCTTGAAATTTTAGGGAATACATCTGGGGGTCATATAATGCCGATTGAAACCATTTATGATCATTATATGTTGTCGTAAAAGTTCGTGGTAGTCTTGTATAAATGAAATCGGTGCAAGTTGTAAAACGGTATATTGGTCGTTTAAAGGCAAATAGGATGGTTCCACCCACCCAATGGCACTCCTGGACGGTATTAGGGAACAAGGGAAACATTTCGGAAATTTTTATTTCCGGTCGAAAAAAAGTAAAAAATTTCAAATTTTAGGCTAATATCCACGCTTTTTGAGAAATTTTGGAAGATTCAAGGCTCGGTGTCGAAAAGTCTTGAAATGCTAGGGGATACATCTCGCGGTCATATAATATCGTTTGAATCATTTATGATCATTTTATGTTGTCATAAATGTTCGTGGTAGCTTTGAATTAATGAAATCGGTGCAAGTTGTAAATCGGTAAAGTGGTCGTTTAAAGGAAAATTGGATGGTTATATCCACTGAATTGCACTCCCGGAGAGTATTTGGAACCATGGTAAACATTTCAATAATTTTTATTCCGAGAGAAAAAAAAGTCAAAAAATACCAAAATTGAAAGCTAATATACACGTTTTTTTGAAAAAAATTGAAGGTTACTTGACCTAGTGTAGAAAAATCTTGATATTTTAGAGAATACTTCTCAGGGTCATATAATGCCGTTTGGGACCATATATGATCATTATATGTTGTTATAAATATTCATAATACGCTTGAGTTAATGAAATCTGTGCAAGTTGTAAACCTGTAAATTGACCGTTTAAAGGCAATTTGGATGGTTCCAACAACCCAATTTGACTTGCGGATGGTA